CGTATCCGTACTAACACCGTAGGTATGCGCGCTGCGCACTGCAGCAAGTGTCCCGTCGCGGCGTCGCCAGGTTCATAGACCCCCAAGGTGACTGGAGGTGCGGAGTCAGAACGTCCCGGTCGCATCTGTAGGCATTTGAAGGTACCTAAAGGTATCCGTAGGTACTCCGTAAGGAAATCCAACAACCTAACTGATAAGATAAAGCACCTTAGTAAGTGCCTGCCTACCCAGGTAAGGTACCTACCAGGACAAAATAGGATGTCGGGCAGCGCAGGACTAGCTGTCTGCTTATTACCACCACCATTACTATGAGCACTATACTACGCCTTCCAAAGGGTTATTTATACGGAATATAGAGAGAATAGAAAAAGAACAACAGCAGTAGCAATGATTGGAATAATATCAGTGATCGTGCGTTGATTATATAAACAGGAGAAATAAAGGCAAATGGGCGGCAAGTCGCCCTCTTGCCTACCTTTCTGGGCACCTTTGACACGAATACATCACCTTACTTTAAGCTGATGATGTTGCGCATCTGTTGCACCAAGTAATTACTCCAAGAAGAAACACTAGTTTACAGTTCTTGCCAAAAGGCTTTGTTTGTCATACAAATCTACCTAGTCTGGGTATACTGGGTAAAGGTTTCCAAACACATGAATTATATCCACATGACCATAGCGTATCACCTGTTCTCACAAAGGGTCATCTTGCACTCCGCCCAAGTCCCATCAACCACCACTGCCAACATCCGCTGTATTCTTCTTAGCTCCTCGCCGTGTCCCGGCTACAGAGAGCCTTTGCGCCTGTGCGAAGGAGAGGCTGCTCATTTGGCCAGTCCCAGCTGCGGGCACGCTTCGGTTGTACCGTTCTCGGAGTTCTCGTTCGAATGGCGTTGGGAGGGGAGCAAAAGGTGTCATGGACGGAAGCCTCACAGAAGAAGCCATACCCGTCCACCGGGTCGGCGTATCCGCCACAACTCCATCAGCATCGGGTCCTGACCCGGTTCCGTCGTGATCATCGTCGTCGGCCGTTGGCTCAACTTCTTGGATCCTGGAACCCCTAAGACTTGGTCCACTAGGTCGTTCGTGAATTGCTCTCGAGAGTGGTAGCGAGGTGCGACCGGCCACGAAGCCAGCTCCTCTCCTTGAGCTGCCGAGACTAGCTCTGAGTGTCGTTGACTGGTGAGATATGTTCAAATTCCTGTCCCCCTTCCAATGTAGCAGAAGACGTCGTACAGCCTTCTTGCTGTTCCTCTCCCTAACGTCCAATGCCACGTATTCTCGGCTCTTCAACTGCAGTAAGGATGATTGCCACTGGCTCCACCAGCGTGACTTCAGGTTCACTGACCAAGCCTGGTTGACGCGGTCCTCTTTGACTGCGACATCTTGGGACATGCCGTCCCATTCGTCCACCCATGCAGCAGTCAAAAGCTTACCTGTGCCCCAGTCGCGGCTGCTCTCGTCTCGCCACAATTTCAACATGTGAACAAGACGATCATGTTCCACCACGATGTGGTGCTGGTCTGCTTTCCAGCCCAAGTTTCCGTGAGCACGAGTAGCTGTCTTCCACAGATTGAGATAGCCCTTCGTGAAGGTAGCCTTGACGTGCTGTCTGCATCGGGCGTAAGATTTCCGAGTCCCTGACCTCCAAGCCGATCTGGATCGCCATGTCTTGAGTGTACGTGTGGCACTAATGTAAAAACAACCGCGCTGCACCCACTTCTGGAGGTTTCTTTTCTCACCGACGTCGATATGCCACATTTCCAATGCCTTTTGCGCTCCTTGATGCGCTGCAAACCGACGCGATCTCGTGCTCGCCTTGGCGACTATTGAAGCTTGTCGTTGCCAATTGCCAAGAACTTTGGTCTTCAGCAGGCGATCTGATATGGCCATAAGGGAACTCGCACCTCGCCAAGGTCTAGGCAAGGCAATGCCAGACACAGAATCTACAGTAATCCCGCGGCTAAAGGCGTTGGTCTGCCCAAATGTCGGTGGCGCTCTGCCGGCGCTTTGCCACCTTGACAAGCAGCTGCGAACGAGCTTGAGTTCCATCTTGGACTTGAAAACCTCCACCCTTGAATCAAGATGCCATTGGTGTAGGGGGCCCTGGACGGCATGGTATCTGCGGAATGCCGCAGCATCTCTCAGGTGAGACGTTGCCTGGTGGGACCATGTTTTCAACACCCGAAATCTCCCATATTCTTCATACAAATCCTCCATGTGTGACCCTAGGCCTTGTAAAGATGAACAAGCCGAATACCATTGTCGCAAATAGATGGGCACAGTGCGCGGCGGATGAAGAGGTTCCGTCGGGGTTAGGCATGAGGTCGACCATTGTTTGAGGGCGTTCTGGACCGTATTCCGTTGGGCATGAGCTAAGGCGGCATTTTCTGTAGCAAAGTCATCACCGGCGCGCCTGAGCCATGAGGCCATCAGACGGAAAGTAAACACGCGACGACCCCGAATCCTAGTCTCAGCCGTCACCAGCTCCCACGGGTCGAAGTGACGCATCCGCAAGATGTGTCTCCTGGCTAATGCCATTCGTTCGAGCTTGTCGAGAGCGTGTTGTTTCCAGTGTGACAATCCTCTGAGGAGCAATAAGTACCCCTTCACCTTGGTCGATTTCCATTCCAAAAGCGCGTATCTTGCTTCATCATCAGGGTCTTCATTGATTCCGTCGTCAACCACTCGCTCTGCTTCAGCACCTTCAATCCTGCCTTTAGAGAGTTCTTCGACTAGTTGCTGTTGCCTGTCTGATTGATGAGCGGCAATCCCCTGGACTTTAGGTTCATGCACAACAGGCACATGTACTAGAGGCTCCTGAGCACTGAGCTCATGTTCACGAGAATCGTGTGTCTCAGTATCAGGGGCAACATGGTCTTCCGTGACCTCAGAAACCCTGGTTCCATTTCGAACTGGTTCTGGGGCAGTGGCATCGGCACTGGTGCCCGCGCTGATGCTGGTCGTATCAGGCGGAAGCAGCCAATTCACCGTTCGTACGGGTTTTGTCCGTATGGGTAGAGCGGTCGCCTCAGTCTCATTCACAAGGTGGATATGGGACGCCTCGATGGGCTGAACCGTGGTGTCGCTGGCGCCACGTTGTCCAATGGTTCCAGACACGGACTGCCGGCTTTGGCGGCTTTGTTCTGTGTTTCCAGCCGTTGAGGGTGTATAGCTGTGGGATGGCGGTTTGGCATGGTTGATAGACTTCAGATCCAAGTGGTTTGGTACCAGGCCAATGCGCGTCAGCCTTGGGGGAGATTCATCATCGTCCGAGTGATATGGTGCTTGCGCTTGCGAATGTTGGAGAGGCGCGTATTGGTCTCGCGGTGCAAGCTCGACCTTGTTGGAGGACTCGTCTTCGGACGTGTCAGAGTTCCGGTCGGTGTCCGTAGGCGCAGGCTGTGGCAAAGAAGCCTCTTCATATTCGGCTCCGTCTTCGTTTTCGTCGCCGTCGCCGTTGTCTGATAATACCCTGGACCCGTCGCTTCCGAATTCAAGGCCAATGCCCATTCTTGACAAGACGGCGTGGAGCTTCTCCTGAAGTGACCCTTCGCCACGTTCGCCGCCGACGCGGAATACGAGGCGCGAGATGTGGTTTTCCTCTTCCGGATCAATGCCGAAGACCGGGAGTACGGCGTCATAGGCCTGGAACAAGGCATTTGTTGCCAGTCGCTCTCCCTCGGGAAGGAGTTCGAGGTTCTGTTGGGCTGCCGTGACGACATGATGTAGTATGGCGATTTCTGGTAGAAGTCATCAGACGAGTGCACTTCGCGATCGTAGGGATGGTGGGTGTAGGCGATGCTGCTGTGCAGACTGTGTAGGCGCACTTGGAGCTGCACTTACCGTGGTCGCTGTAATAGGAATCCGAGCTTTGGACAGACACAAAGCTAGATATGCCGTCACGGGGGGCCAGCACTGGGCGATGCGGCAGCGACGGCATGTGAACTGGCGCCAGGCTGGGAGCATAATAGAATGGCCGTGGAAGAGTTTGTGGCGGTGGTGGTGGTAGATGATGACAGTGGTAGTGATAGTCGATTGAAGCTTGCCTTCGTAATGCTAAGGAGCCAGATTTGTCTCCGGTGATGGTGTACGGTTGGGCAAGAATGCTGGATACATTTGATCGCGACAAACTGTACTGTTGACAGCGGATATCGGAGGGGACTGAAAGAGCTTCACGTCTTGCAGCGGTGATTGCTTAGGTAGCGGGTGTCTAGTCGCGTCGCAAGAATCGCAAGTCGGAATGATGGCGATACGTAGGTCGTGGCGCTGCCATGTCCACCGCGCGCTGCGGGTCAGGCGCGAAGGAGGCTAAGGTACGAGGTAGCAATTGGCTGGCGAAGGCGACGATGGATGATTCCCCAAAATCGAAGTTGATGGGAACAAGGCCGGGTGTCACAATAGGTAGGTAAGGTATATTGTGAACCGTCAGCTGCTTCCTCCACTTGCAGCAGTCTTGAACAGACACATATGTTTGCAAGTATCGGCAGGTGGTCAAGCCATGGCCACTCCCAACCCCGTCTTTATTTTCTCTTCCTATTCTTTTCTCTCTTCCCGTCTGTTTATTTCGCGTCCTATGGCGGAGCAGTGCGCCGACCAAGGTAGCCGCTGTGGGTACGTTATTGTTGGCTGGGCTGCCATTGATCCTGGTGTCGCGACGCATTGCTGATAGGTCAGTTTGCTCGAACTCATCCATGGTGTGTCGCTGGAACCCAGAGCTTGTGCCCTGTGCTGCTCCCGTCCCCCGCCACAGCTGATTCGATTTATACTTCCTGAGGTACCTTGGGCAAGGTGCCTCACCTTAACTTTACCTATCTAGTACCTTAGGCATTAGCACTCTATCTCAAGGTAAGATAGCTTATGTAGATAACCGAGCCTCCTTGGCTTGAATATATACTTCTTATTCAATGAGCAAGCACATTAAGAACGCATTGCTCTAATGGAGGCAACTAGAGTAGGAAGGCCAGTACCTAAGGTAGCACACCCACCACCACCACCACCACCACCTAAGAATCCTCACCTCGACGATTGTCAGTGTTTAATAAGTAAGGTAGCTTTGGCCGCCATTGTGACGGCGAAATTTCAATTAGTTGCGCAACAATCACATCTTGCATTGTGCTTCTACCTCCCTTTACCCGAGGCCCATCTCAAGCAGCTGCCATGGTTCGCACACGGCCCATCCAGAAGTTTGCAGCCGCAGTTGGCCAGTGTACAGCAGAGGTCAGTCATTCAGTCGTGGCACTCGGTCTAGCCACGCGATTTCACGCCGCGAAAACGTACTGACCAAGATATAGACCTCCATGTACGGCAAATGCATCGTTGCCGACTACAACTCTGTCCACAAGGATAAGTGTTTGAAGGAGTTTCTCAGACTGAAGGATTGCTATCTTGTATATCTCACCACTATGCCCCTTCCTACCTCTGCCTTCACCGAGTCTACTACGTCACTAACGCTCGAGTTTTCCATCAAAAGGTCGCTGCCCGCAAGGCAAAATAATCATGGAAGAAGCATAATATACCAACATCTTAATCTCTCGAATCTTGTTGTGGTGAATTCACTTTTTTTCTTTTGACTTCCAAGTCTTCGTCACTTTCATCTGCTCATGCACCAGGAATCTAAGCTACCTAAGGCAGAGTTGCACTCACTGCAAACCTATCACCTAAAGCTCGAGCAGACGGAGCAAGAACGTCGCATGCTGCACTTCTTGCTCCTCTTCTGCAATCACTCCCTTCTCCTCTCCGCTCGGCACCTCGCCTTCCACCTTGGTGACTTCGTGCTTTTCCACCGGTTTACGGAGTGCCTTCTCAATGACCTTGGTCTGTGAGATGAACACTTCTTCGAGGCCAATGTTGTCAGGATCGCTGATGACCTTGTATTCCATCTTGATGTCATCCGTCGGCTGCAGCTTGGCCTTCTTTCTGAGACGCTGTACGCGATTGATAATCTCTCTTGCAAGACCCTCGTGTGCCAGTTCCACATGAAGCTCCGCATCCAGGATGGTGAGAACATCATTGTCCGAGTTCGTCTCCAGGTTCTTCGAGGACTCATCCTCCTTCAAGCCTCTTCTCACAACAAGATCGCCTTCCTCCAGCTTGATTCCATCAACGAGAATCACTTTCTTCTCTGAGTATTCCTTGACAGCGTCGCTGCTGAGCGTCGGGAGCGCCTTCTTGACGCGCGCCATGTCCTTCTTGAGCTTCTTACCTAGCACGGGCCAGTCGGCAGTAACGCTATACTGGACGTTGTACTTGGCCTCGTCGGATGTAAGGACCAGATCTCTGACGTTCATCTCCTCCTTGATGTATGATGAGAGGGATTCGAGATCTTCGAGATACTGGGGGTCGCGATGAATGACCACGAGCGTCTTCAACGGGGTCTTGAGACCGACCGCTCTTCTCTCGCGAGACACTCTGACCAGATCAATAACCCTCTGCATTCTGCCGACTCTGCGCTCGACAACCTCGTCAAACAACTCCTGGCGCACCTCGGGGAACGGCAAGAAGTGGACACTGCGCGCGTCTTCTGCCTCGGCCTCCTTAGGGATGAAGGGACGGAGCTTCTGGTAAATGGTGTCGGTGATGAAGGGAGTGAAGGGAGCAAGGCCGCGGCATAGCGTAAAGATGACCTCGAAGAGGGTGTTGAGCGCATGCTGGGTGTCCTCGACTCCATTCTCACCCTTGAGACGTCTTCGGTTGAGCTTAATGTACCAGTTTGTGGTGTTTTCAATAAGCCCGAGCAGACGCGGAACGACAGTGTAGAGTCGGTAGGCTGGTAGGGAAGGCGCGTTAGCGAGGCTCATGAAGAAAAGTGCAATAACCTCAACGTACCGCTCATCTCCTGGTTAACGAATTGCAGCAAGCTCTGACAACTAGCCAGGATCCACCGATCCATCACATTCTCGTTACTCGACAGGGCCTTTGGGCTCCAAGTGTAATCGATGCCCTCTACCTTCTTGAGCAGCGTCACCTGGCCTTCAAAGAATTTGTAACTGTTCCAGAGAGGTAGCAGGACCTTTTGTACGACCTCCTTGACGCCGGACTCCTTAAATCTCAGTGGTTCAGCACGCACGACAGGCGAGTTGATGAGATAGAGACGGAGGGCGTCGGAACCGTACTTGTCCATGACCAAATCAGGGACCGGGTAGTTCTTGAGGCGCTTCGACATCTTCTTTCCGTCCTCGGCCAGAACTATGCCGTTGACGACGCAGTTCTGGAACGGAATCTTGCCGAAGAGATGCGTGCCGAGGACAAGCAGGGTGTAGAACCATCCTCTAGTCTGATCCAAGCCTTCGGCAATGAAGTCACCAGGGAACGACTTCTCGAACTTTTCAACATTCTCGAAGGGATAGTGCTGACTGGCGTATGGCATACTGCCAGATTCAAACCAGCAGTCGAACACTTCCTCGATGCGTCTCAGAGTACCCTTGCCCATTTTGCTAGGGATCGTAATATGGTCGATGCTGTCTCGGTGAAGATCAGACAAGTCTCCAGTGTAACCACTCAGGTCACGCAACTCCTGCACACTGCCGATACACACTCGCTCTTCCAAGTCATCGCTGACCCATAGTGGGATAGGAGTACCCCAGTAACGGTTTCGTGAGACGTTCCAGTCACGGGCGTTCTCGATCCAGCTGGCGAACCGCCTCTCCTTGACAAAAGAGGGCACCCAATGGGAGCCTTTGATGTTCTCCAGCATCTGAGGGATGATCTCGGGAATGCGGACGAACCACGAGGGGACCGCGCGGTAAATAAGAGGGGTGTCGGAACGGTAGCACATGGGGTATGAGTGCTTCAGCGTGGAGTCGACCACAATCTTCCCAGTGCCCTTCAGGTGCTTGATGATGTGCTTGTCAGCCTCCTTGACGTGCATACCGGCGAAATCAGAGACGCGGCTGGTGAAGTGACCGCTATCGTCAATAGGGTCAGGAGGCGCCCTGTTCTCAGTGACAATGCCAGCTGCAACGGCGACGTTGTAATCGTCCTCACCGAAAGCGGGCGCCTGATGGACGATGCCGGTACCACTGTCATCAGTAATGTAGGTGGCATTCAGTACCCTGAAGGCAACGTCCTTGTACTCTTCGTAGAAGTAGTTGAAAGGGGGCTCGTACTTCCAGCCAAGCATGGCCTTGCCGCTGATCTTTTCAAGAATCTTGAATTTGGCCTTCTTCACATCCTTGTACAGAGTGCCAAGAAGTTTCTCGAGAAGAATGTACTTCTTGCCTGACTTCTCGTCGAGAATCTTGATGTATTCGAGATCAGGGTGTGTGGCTAGGCCGAGATGCGAAGGCAAGGTCCACGGAGTCGTCGTCCATGCCAGCAGGTGAGTCTCGGGGTCTTCGATCAGGGGGAACGAGATGACGATCGCAGGGTCGCTGACATCCTGATAGTTCTGATTGGCCTCGAAGTTGCTCAATGCTGTGGTCAGGGCTGTTGAGTAAGGCATGACACGATGGCCCTGGTAGACAGCGCCTTTGTCGAACAGCTGCTTGAATACCCACCATTCGGACTCCATAAAAGTAGGATCCATGGTCTTCAGGTAACGGGTGTTAGTAACTTTCAGTGAGCAAGGTCAAATGATGCGTGATCTTACCTTGTAGTCGTTATCAAAGTCGATCCAGCGGCCGAGTCTCTCAACTGTATGGCGCCACTCTTGGCTGTAGCGCATGACAATAGATCGGCATTCAGCATTGTAGTTCTTCAGTCCCAACTTCATGACAGCAGCCTTGCCAGAGATGCCCAACTTCTTATCAATCTCGTGCTCGATGGGTAGTCCATGGGTGTCCCAGCCGAAGCGCCTTTCGACGTGGAAGCCCTTCATGGACCAATATCTCGGGATGATATCCTTGATGGTGGAGGCCAGCAAGTGGCCATAGTGAGGAAGACCGGTGGCGAAGGGAGGGCCATCGTAAAAGGTGTAAAGGGGTTTTCCCTGTGTCAACTCGAGCTGCGCGTGCGATGCATGTCAGTGTGGGAACACACACAAACACAGAATGGCATCAAAGCAAACACAGAGTGCGACTGCTGCGTCTGGAGCCAAAAGAGATGCGGCTTACCTGACGCTCGAAAGCTTTGATCTCACGCCATCTCTGGAGAACAGCCTCCTCCTCCTTGGGGAAGTCAATAGACATGATGTTGGGCGAAAGGCGACAGAGTCGGAGTCAAGAACCGCGTAAGGGAACGTAGCCTGGTTGCGGTTTGCGGCTCTGCCGAACCAGATATTGTCACACCAAAAACAGTAGTGGATTTGGTCGGCCGATGTTTCGTCAAGTAGGGGAGGAGGGAACTGCGCCGGTTGTGGAGATGAACGAAGCCAAAACCTCAAAATACGGCAAATTCGTAGGAAGGCCACGAAAAAGCGTCAATGGGTCATGTGAGTCAAAACCCAAGATGCTGAGGATATGGATCTGTGAGTACGTGGGCGACTTGGGGGTTGGAGGGGTACAGTGGGAGAAGTGAGTCAGTGGGGTAATTTTTTCTCAATTGACTTATCGAGCGCGGGGCAATCGACCAAGTCATTTCAGACTCCCGGCATTCACTCACCTTCCCTTACCTTAGTCATCTCAGCATGGACACTTGGGTGAGCACTACCAATAGGGTACCACGTACCTAGGTATTCATACGAACACTCCGCACAGAGGAACCTAGAATACTTTGAGAGTACCTACATCTCTAAGGTACCTGGGCGTGCTAAGGTAGGTAGGTAAGGAATGAGGAGGAGTGCCCAAGCGCTGCGTGACTGAGGTGGTCCATTCATCCACAGACCTTAGGTACCTTCTAGGTAGGTAGGCAGTGGTAGGTTGACCGTACGGGCGCTGTTAGGCCTGCCCCAAGACCGTAAGGTACCGAACGGAAGTAACCAAGGAGCCTTGCCTTACCTTAAGGCACCTAGGAGGCGGAGCAACGTGAGATCTCAGTGGAAGGTGCCCTGCAGGTCGATTGGTGTCTCCCAGCACCCAAGCAACCACATTCATCACAAGAGCAACGCCTCCAGTTCTCAAGTCTTTCCCGGCGGGATCGTCGTCCGCCGTGTATCAACGTAAACAAGACCCCGACCCAGACTCGGCACAACATCCCCCATCGGCCTGTCTCCTCTCTGCCTCCCTCACTCGAACTGCGCTCTTCGCCCCGTCTCCAACAGACCACCCATCGCCGCAAAACATACAGCCTCTGTCGACGAAGCCCGGCTAGGCTGTACCACATTGAACAGCTCGAATCTCAGCCCACCGCACCCTCGGTATCAGCTACCGACCATCGCCAGCGACCCCGTCTCAGGAGCTGCCTGTAGTCGTGATCAGCTTCTGCCTGCACGCTCATCACAATCGAGATCGGAAACCACACCTATTTGTGGCCTTACAATCAAGTCGCCCGGCAGCTACCACGAAAGATCTATTACTTGGCCCAGCCTACCACCTTCGTCATGTCATTTCTCTTCGGCCGGGCTCGGACAAGGCCTGCCGTTGACCTACCCAAACAAGCCAGAGACCACGTAACGAAGCTCGAAGGTCCAAATGGCGCCGCCAAGGTTGGTTCCACCCTTCATCTCTGCCTAGTACTTGCTCGACCTCTAACGTCTATACCTATTACAGGCCGAAGAGCTTGCAAAAGTCCTAAACCAGATGAAGTTTATCTTACAAGGAACCCATGGTACAACTCTCACCTGCAGCCTCTTTCGAAACCTGCCGTTAACTTAAGTCAGAGTCCGATAGTAGCCCGGAACAGATATACCAACTGGTCACTGGCTTGATTGAAGAAGATCTGCTCTACTTGCTGGCAGTGAACCTATGGCGTCTGCCCTTCGAGTCCAGAAAAGATACCCAGGTTATTTTCTCCTACGTTTTCCGCTTCCGCCCGCCTACAGCGTCTCCGAAAAGCGATCCTCTAGCTCTGTCTTATGTCGTCAACAATCGCCCACAAGTCCTCCTCGAACTGTGCCGCGGCTACGAACACAAAGAGAGTGCAACGCCTGCCGGCTCTGTACTTCGAGAAGTTCTCAAGTCGGAGGCTGCTGCCGCCATCATTCTCTACGACGACAATGAGGAGTCTGGGTCCAGCAACAAGGGCATCAACTTGATTGACAGGGACCGGCGACAGAGCGGCGAGGGCGTCTTTTGGAGATTTTTTGACTGGGTCGACAAGAGCTCCTTTGAAGTAGCCGCGGACGCATTCACCACATTCAGGGTAAACTCTCTTGCTCCCAGGGGTTAAAAGGGTTCAAACCCACGTCGCTAACACTCACATCTTGCAGGAACTTCTCACAAAACACAAGGAGCTGGTGCCGAGATACCTCTCTGTAAACTTTGACCTATTCTTCGACAAGTACAACAACATACTTGTGCAGTCAAACAGCTACGTTACCAAGCGACAGTCCATCAAGCTTTTGGGTGAAATCCTGCTGGACCGGTCGAATTATAGCGTCATGACGGCTTATGTTGACCGTGGAGAGCACCTCAAGATCTGCATGAATCTTTTGAGAGATGATCGCAAGATGGTGCAGTACGAGGGCTTTCATGTTTTCAAAGTCTTTGTGGCCAACCCCCATAAATCCATTGCGGTCCAAAAGATCCTGCTCATGAACCGGGAAAAATTGCTTACATTCCTTTCTCACTTCTTGGAGGATCGAACTGATGACGAGCAATTCATCGATGAGAGAGAATTCTTGATCAAGCAGATCAGGAATATGCCATCGAACCCAGTGCCGCCTCAGAGACATGGCATGCCAGGCGGTGGTTAGGTCGCCGCCAGGCAAACGGGTTATATTGCCTCAGGGCCTAATTGTAATGCAATAGGCATATGACTTGCGTTACCGAGTCCTCTTCATTGAACGGGCCTACATTGCATTCGTCGTTGGGTTGTTATTAGCAGTGGTATGGAAGGGTTGGGAGATGCAACGTTGGGATCTGCATTTGCGCGGCGTTTGAGGTGGGGTTTCCAAAGACAAGGAAGACATCAGGCATTAGGTCCTTATGAATGTATTGCTCTTCATCGATCGACAAACGATAGCGAGAAGCGGCTTCTTTCTGCTTTGATCACAGATAAAGTGTTCCATCCAATGACACTAAGCTTGCGGTACTACTGCTTGGCCATCCATGCCTGTGCCTTATCCTTGTAGTCATCACGCCACCTACTTAGGGGTGGGCGACCTTCGACGATATCCCCGACACTCCACATCATCCTCTTGCAGTCCATCTCTTCGGTTACCTCGTTGTCTGGGCAGAGAATGTAGAATAGCCCTTCTGTCATCTTCTTCTCCATATAGTCGGCCACTTCCTCCGGTGTCCAGGCAGCCGCAGGCTTCTCCCTGCCCGGGGCAGCACCTGCGAGGCCTGTGAACGTCCAGCCCGGCACTAGGAGGTGCACAGATGTGGCCGTATCTCTCAAGTCGAACGACAGGTGCTCTGCCAGGGACTTGACGGCCGCCTTGCTGGCATTATAGGCTGGGTTTCCCGGCGGGTTTGTGATACCTTGCTTGGAGCCCGTGATGAGAATAGCCGACTTGGAAGACTGTCCACTGCCGACGAGGGGTAGCAGGCTGCTGATTCCGTTGATGACGCCGTACAAATTGGTGTCCAAGATCCTGCGGAAGCTCCCTGCCTCCAGCCATGTTGACTTGCCACCGATGCCGGCGTTGAGAACCAACAGATCGATGCGTCCTAAAGTAGCAGTTAGCACATATTATGCAGCAACTCGCGAGAGACGTGGTGACGACTAAGACAGGTAAATGGAGGGAAAGGAGATTGTACCTCCAAGGGACGTATTCACTTCTGTCTTGAGCTTCTCCCAATCCTGAAGGAGGCTCACATCCAACTCGAATGTTGCGGAGGACTCCCCAAGGGTTTCCTTTGTCGTCTGAAGAAGTTTGTCATCTCGATCAACTACGAGAACCTTCATCCCATGACCGATGCACTTCTTGGCGATGGCCAACCCGATGCCAGATGCACCGCCCGTGATGACGGCCGTATTACCGGGGACAAGGATGGATGCCATTGCTTAATCTTGAGAATATCTGATGTTAATACGTTGTATGTGAAGAAGCGCAGTCAAGGTTATTCTCTCACAGCCAGCTCAGAAAATAATTTGTAGGTCAATGATATATAGGTATCTGCTTCATGAGCACGTTGGCCACCGGACGCCGCCACGGGGCCGGGAGGCGTCGTTTGCGGGGAAACCTCCGCAGCGGATTTTAGCACTATCGCCGCCGGGCCCCTCCATTGATGTCACGCAACGGACGGCGTTCGAAGTCTAGGTAGACTTGGTCAATCTTTGTTCGTCTATTCCCATTAGGCCGGTAATCCATTGCACTTTGAAAACAATACAGTATGATATCGCATATCATTACAAGCCAGCCTCAACCCTTGACGCCCCTCTTTTTCAGCCCGAGTCCATTAAGGGGGGGGGGGGGAACGCCCTGCACAAATGAGAATAATCCAACACGCGCAAACCATCACGTTGCATCACCTAGACGCTTGAGGAGCTTGCTTGGCCAGCATGACGCTGACGCTTTCCCGCGCGTTGGATGTCGTCCAAACGCTGTCCTTGCCGCCTCGTCGCCAGTCGTCGCCCGCGGCATCCTCGCCGCCTCCTCTTGTTGCTTCACCCATGATGATCTCAAGATCCCGCTTCTGTGAACTCATCCAATTCCTCACAAAGTTGGTGGGATCTTGGCTCATAGATGTGAAGAATGAGTGCTTCGCCTTGGAGCTCGCGACGGCTGCGATCAGCGTAGCTAGCTGATCGTCCATGGCAACAACCTCCTTAAGGGCGCTTGCATACGCAGGAGTGGTAACAAAAGGCACCAGCTTGGCCCGCAAGGGATCATCTACCGCCACACGCACATCGTAGATGGTGGGCTGAGCGTCTCTGTGGAAATCCTCATCAACCCGTACGGTATATGGTAAGCTGACTGGTGGCAGAGGCTGCAGATGCGGCTGGATATAATCATTCAAGTTAGGAATGATTCCAGTATCGCTGCCGTTGACAATCTAGACAATAGGTTAGACGCCGAACATCGTTCCTGGATTGAGGTTACAACAACCTTTTTAAGGAGCTCATCACAACGGAAGTTGCGCTTCTCCTCGTCTTCCTGGAGACCCATCATTTTGATGTACTCCCAAACAGCGAGGACGACCTCTTGACGGGAAGCCTCAGTCATATCCACGACATCGGCCAGCTCAGGGCTGAGCAGATATCGCTCAGGATCCTCCTGGCGGTGGAAGTTGATAGTGATATTCATATTCTCGTCCCCGCTCCGCTTGAAGGTGAACTCGTCGAAGTCTGCACTTGTCGCTGCGCTTTGCGAAGCAGGCTTCTTCCACTCCACGGTCTGGTCGGATGCAGCCCTCGAGCGGGTACGGTCGAAATCAACGTTCAGCGCTTTGAAGAAATGCGACAGCCGATGTTTCTGGCTCGCGGGTGCAGAACTTTGTCTCCTTGAACCAGCCGTGGCGTCCTCCTGTGTAGAATCCGTCTTCTGGTCAGTCTCCCCTGACGCGTCGTCTGGTCCGTCCTCGAGCAGTCGTCCCTCGATCTTGACCCTGTAAGAAGGCTCAGCGCTGGGGGTGAAGTCGAAGCTATCGACGCTGAGACCACTTCCTTGCCATGCCTGATCCTCGACGGTGTTGCTGATCCAGATGCGAAGAGTTTTGTAGTGCTGTAATGCGAGAATTAGCCATGCTGTCGCGCGGAGCCGGGAGGGAGGTCAATGGCTTCCAGTCGAGTCGCATCGCGTCTAGTGACTAACCTTTGCGTTTCGACCAACTGTCTCGACAATGTCGAGTCGCTTGCGCGTCATTGCTGCGTCCAGGCGACGCTCAAAGTCGCGCAAATCCTTGTATCTCTGAGCGACCTCGGTATCCGTGATGCATTCGTCGACACCGTCAGGCAATGTCTTGTCGGTCGGCTTTCGGCTGCGACGCTTGGCAAGCTCGCTCGTGAGGGCCTGGCCTGGAGGATGGTGCTGCGCCATGGCGGCCTGGTTCATGGCTGCTTGACCATGGTGGGCCGGAGGCATGATGGGACCTTTGGGCGGCATTGTTAGCACAATTGTCGTTGTGTCGAGCACTTTGGGACTTGTCGCGCAACAGTAGAACAAGGGGAAAAGGTGTCCGAGGTCTCAAAAGGCTAAGGTAAAGAAGGAACGGGCATACCGATGCCGCCTCTCCGTTGATTTGGGGCATGTGGAGCCCGCTGGGGAACCTGTGGTGCGCCAGCATGGGCAGCGTATTGGCGGTACTGGGGCTGCATCTTCGACGATGACTTTTGATAAGATGCGCGCAAAGCAAGAAACAACCAGATTTTTGTCCCACTGAGAAACGAAAATCAAAGATGATGCTGCCAAATGTGAGCGGTCGCGTCGTTTCTCAAACGCGCGTGTGCATGAGTGAACGACGGGCGGCGAAGGCGCAGGGTCATGCGCAAGGCAGCATCTATGCCCATCACAATTGGCCAGCAAATGCAGCAGCCCCTGTACTGGTCCCACATTACCTGAGTGTGTCCGAGCCGCTTCAGCAGAAGAACATCTGATACTAACAGTTCATACCTCATTTCCGTGCCAAACACGCTGACGCAAAAAGGATAATCACAGTAAGATTGATTGTATTTATGTCGTAGGAACGAATACCTCCCGTCACCTTCCATCGCACTTATAAGCCACAGGTATGTGTATGTACCTTACACTAACACTCACTCACTACCTACTTGCTTCAAATGTGGCTTTATGCCTAGGATAACCGTCCATAAGGTCTGGAGCTGATACCGATTGGTTTACCACTCAAGTCACCTCCGTTTCCTTACGCTCACCTGCGTGAGGCAGTAATATCCATCACTCTGTTTGCGACAAGGTCATTAGACATTGAGAAGAGCACACGCATTATGATGCTTCTCAAATCCCGTGGGTTTATTTTCTCCGAGGACCTATTAAACCCCTAAAAACCCCCAGCGAGGCAGCGAAGAACTCAATCCCCAAATGCTTCCATCGAGTGTAAAGCTGCAAAACTTCCCTGCAAAAGAGGTCAAGTTGTCGAGAGTGCATAGCCGATGATACGCCGCGCTCCCGAATGCTTCCTCCCGAACCATATTTCGTTGCATTACAAACTTCTAATAAGTTTATCGCGCTCACTCTCTATCTGAGAGCCGCGATTTTCGTCTAAACCCCCACTCTCCTTAGAATTCGTGATCGCCCCATAGCTCCAGTCGTCGTAAGCCTCGTGCTAATTAGAATTGTTGGCCGAGGCCATTCTTGGACTGTCTTTTGCTGAATCGGTTTCGCTTGGTAGTCGAAGCTGCATCGTCTAGGCTGGCCTGGCTTTTGCTGAGATGGTTCCGACCGGACCGGTCGCTAACGCTGAAGCTGTCAGGGTAAACGCCCCGTCCACCCAGAGTGCTGGCCGGGCTCGACACTGTGGACGACATATCGAAACCGTTGTCGCCGGCATAAGAGCCCGAGAGATTTTGAGACAAGGCCAATTCCTTGGCTCTCTCCAGGGACTCTATCCAGTCGCTGGCCGTGGTGCCGTTCTCTGAAGGGCTAGAGCTCCCCTTGGGCTCCTCAAATGTGTAGTGGACGCCGCCCTGTCGGATTTTAGATGAGCGGCGAGACTTCTTGTCCAGGATACTTACTGCATCGACACACCATACAGTCTGCCCCTTCACGTCAAGCTGCGTCCTCCAGGTGCATTCGGGTGCAAGTAGTGAAATCTCTTGCTTGGCACGCTTCTCTTCTCCACCGGCCGGTGCCAGCAGTATGCGACCGCTCGACGTTACCATCACCAACCTCTGCCTCTTCTTGGTTGTACTTCCGCCAAAGAACCTCGATAATTTCTTGTGTCCTTCGGCGTGCTCGCCGCCTTTACCTTGGCCACTCGGCAGGGGGCTCGAGACAACCATCAAGTCGCCAAGTTTGAGAATCCTCTCGTTATTCTTCGTTAAGACTGGAGACCACTCAATATCCAGCTGGGTTGGGGGAGGAAGCTCTGTGATGATTCTGGCCGGTCGAGCACTGCCATTCAGAGCCGAACCTTGCGGCTGGGAGCTCCTGAGCGGTGCAGGAGGGTTCGGACTATTGCTCACGCCATTAAGTTGAATCACAGTCGGATCCTGCGGCGTAGGGTTGTAAGGTCGAAGCCGTGGGGCTTTGGTCCTCCATAGGCCTTTGCCATATGGCTGTCCGTCGAAGAACTCGTGGTTCTTGATGTGCTCGACAGTGAGACGACGCGTTGGATCAAGAACCAGGCATCGCTCCACTAAATCACGAGCTGCTGGTGGAAAGCCGGTAGGAAAGTCGTACTCCAGGTTGACAATCTTCTGAAAGGTGAGATATTCTGTTGCGGCCTTGAAAGGCGGACGACCTGCTAATAGCTGGTATACTATGCATCCAAAAGCCCATAGATCGCTCGCTTTGCAGGCGTTCTTGCTGGTCAGGAGTTCGGGACTGACATACTCGGCGGTACCCACGAATGAAGCCGCCCGATTGTCGTCTTCTGCCTCGCTGCGAGCACTCTCTGGCAATCCCCGCGCGCTTTCGCCGGCGTTCTGCGCCTCTCTCGGGTCTTTGAGTAGCTTGGCCGTGCCGAAATCTGTAATCTTTACATGCATGTGGTCGTCCAAGAGGACATTCTCTGGCTTGAGATCGCGGTGGATCACTCCTCTGGAATGCATGTAGTCGATGGCGTCCAGTATTTGGGCGCTGTAGAACCTCGTACACTCCAGATCAAAGGAGCCAGTCTTCTTCAATACCCCAAGCAGTTCGCCGCCGTTGCAAAGGTCAAGAACGTAGTACAGAGACATTTCGTCCTGGAACGTGTAGTAAAGGCGTACGATTCCCGGGTGCTCGGTAAGGCGGTTCAAGGTGTTCTTCTCAATGTTGACGTACTTGATCTTCTTCTCCTTGATGATGTGCTTCTTCTCAAGGACTTTGATGGCGTACTCCTTGAGAGTTTGTCGATCAGTGGCTAGATAAACAGTACTGTACGACCCCTCTCCGAGCACGCGGCCAAAGGCGAAGTCTCTAACTCCCTTTTTGACATGTCGGATAACTGTCTTGCCGTTCGAATCTGTTTCCCTGCGCACGCCTACAGCGGCACCGCGGTCCTTCCACTCTTCGCTGCTGGTTGGTAGCGGTGCCTCTGGGCCATAAGGCTCTTGCGGGCCAACTGGCGCTGCTGTTGCCGAAACATATCCACCACCCATGCCTTTCGAGCTCCTCCGTGGGGGCAAGGATCCGGAGCCAGGAGGCAGCTGGGATTGACGAGCTGGATTGGCTGGCGCCCTGTAGCTCGGCTCCCTCGTTGGTGTTGAGCTGCCTGGGTAGCCCTGGGCGTGGTTCGAGTCTTGCCGTGCGAGCAATCCGTAGGCAGAATGCCGCGACCGGTCGCTGTGGGCTTGCGGTTGATGAAGCGGGTGTCCTTCCTCGGTTGCCACAGGCTGATGGCTATATAGCGCGGATACAGGCCGCGCTGTTGGTGATACGGAAGATCGGTTCCCTGGAGCTCTGTCGAGTTCGGAGTATGGGGAGACGGGCTGTCTGTAGACGTCTGCTCGCATTGCCGCACTGGGGCTCGTTCGACGGGGTTCGGCATGGCTTGGTGAGCCATCGTAGGCGGGTGACGGCCCCTCGGAGGATTGTGTGTGGGATATAGGAGACAGTAAGTTGTCTGACGTGGGAGTAGACCCGAACGGACTCGTGGATGGCTGCGTGGTCGGGTCGTCGAGGGGCGCTAGACGGGTATGAGCATCAAGTTGATACTGCTGCTGACGCTTATGGTCATGGTCTGGTTGCTGTTCGGTCGATGATGGGGTGTCGGCGTCTTGAGGGTCGCTTGGAGAGGCATCGGCGTCATCTGGATTGGCTATTCGTAGTCCCCCGAGGGCCCTCGATAGACTGAGGTCCCCATTCATGATTCGTGTTCAAGTCGGAAGCGGGCTCGTAGGAGGGGAAGGAGGGGAAAGCAGAGGGGAAGACAAGCTGGGAATAAAGGCGACAGAATGACGATGGGGGAAAATGATATGGACAAGAGTGTGAAGGTAACGTGGTGGTGAAGATGAGGTACGAGTAGGGTGTGAGTGTGTGGCTCGGAATGCCTCGTGGGATGGCCAGGTGAGGCGATTTAAGGAACGACGCGGCGCAGCACAACAAAAAGCGGATGCAAGACGATTGAGGTCGTCAGTCCAGTGCCGGGGAAGGTCAGGCAAGGGTAAGAGCGGAAAGCATTGGAGTCCACATCGGCCACCACGCAACGTCCTGTCAAGGCAGTGTAGTGCAGTGAAGGCAATTGCTGATTCGGATAAGACGAGACGACGACGGGAGGTGGTGAGGAAGATCTGATTCTGCAGGACGGGAGTTGGTGCAGAGGAAGGTAAGGTAAAGGTAAGGTCGGGTGGTAGTGTAGGCCTGACTGCACAGAGTATGGATAGGTAGGTAGGGTGTGCAGACTGGTGCAGTTTGGTGCAGTTTGGCACACTTGCCCGGGTCTCTCCACAATCCACCCACCCGAAAAGGGCACTTACCTTTTCTCTACTTGCCTTACGTACCTCCCTCACTCTACGGATAGCAGTACGCTTATTAACTAAGGTACCTACCGTCAGACACCTCCCTTCAAGAGGCATGGGGTATCCTTGGTGGTAACACTCTCAGTGGCAGACCTAATGAATTGCAGCCCAAGGGTGGGCATATTATATATTGAAAAAGTTCATGGTTTCCTATTCTCTAGATGATGTAATAAATATTAAAAAAAAAAAAATTTAAAAAAAAAAAAGACTATTGACACTGGGCAGGTTTCTACCCGGAAGCTCCTTCCTCCCTTTGTCATCCTGAGGTACCTTGATAGCAGGAAAGACCGACGGTAGGTGAGGTGGTCAACGCTGAGGTACTCCGAACACAGATCTAGGTACGTTCCATGATACGGATACCTACCTTCCATTGAATGAGGAAGCCTAGGTACCTAATTTACCTAGCCTACGGAGTAGTGCCAATGGAATGCCCGGCGTTCGGGCAAGAGGTCGGGTGGCAGGCAGGCCCCTTTTCTCCCCGGGCCTACTCGCGCCCGCCTAGGTCCACTTTAACGGGCGGGCATTCAAGAATCGACCTCCCAGAGCAAGGGGGTACAGTACGTAGCCATCTCACTGCCGGGCACGTTATTGCAGTACGCAGTAAGGTAGAAACACCTTGGACATCTCGTTTTGAATGAACCTCACAGCTCCTCATAAATTGATGGTTATCATATCTGTCACTTGCCTACTTATACATTGCATAAAAACCCGGGTATCTAGCCATGCTACCTGCCTTCGTCTAAAATACCAAGTACACAAAAAACTCCGACTTCACAACCTTAGTGTTATTCTTATTTTTCCACAATGATTATCGACTCTCGATGGCGATGGTGAAGAGTTCGTCGACGAACGTCGGTACATCATTTATTCTTTCCGCCTCAACATTCGAACTCTGCATGCCGCCGCCAGCATGAACGTTGGTTCTCACCTCAGCCACCTGTAGTGTTCGCATCTCAATGGCACTGCCCTTCGCCTTAGGACCGCGACAGTCGTCATTCACAGACACCGTCTGGTCACCGCCAATGCTGCCGGCCATGTTTCCGGGGTTATCGCTGGCTCTTCTGCCTAGCATCGTTGGTGTTCTTCGGTTGGAAACACCCACGTCGTGAGACCCGGTGTGGGACACTTCGTCGGCTTTGTGAATCTCGACACGGATCTCTTCTGACACCATGATGCCCCCAAACGGTGAGGACTGGTTTGCTGCCTCGTTGTTCGAGTACGTAGGAGGCGGCCCATCAAAGCTCGAAGTGCCCGGTGACATGGGGTCACTGTCTCGTCGACCTGTCCAGAGTTTGAGGGTCGAGCTTGATGCATTCGAATTCGTCCTCGATGAAGAGCGTCCGAGGGCTGTGGGAATCGGATTCCCTTCCGAGTCAACGGGGTGCGACAGGCCGAAGCGACCAAGGTTACGAAGACGCGACGGGAAGCGGAACTTCCTGTCTTTGGCCATGGCCGGGCTAGGCTTTTCGAGCGGCACAGATTGGACGACCGGTGCCAGCTCGCGATGCACCGACTGAGTAAAGGCAAGATGCCGCGATGCGTCTCGACCGACAAGTTGATGGACCTTGAAAAAGTTTAACGGAACAAAATCGCACTTGGGGCTGGAGAATATGACGTGAATCGGGATAACCAGGCGGAAAGCGATCAAGCTTGTCGGTTGTAATGTCGAGCCTTCGCCTACAGGTAGAGTGACCACGGTGCTGGTGAGAATGGCCTCATTGAAGATCGGATCGTCGATCCAAGTTCTCAACGCGTCGAGACTTTCGGTCAACTGTGTTGCAAAGACCATATCTCGCGTGCCCAGGTTGCTCATAGAAGCAATCCTTCTACTCACACCGAGCGTTGTCAGCCGGTCCAGCTGCTGGAGAAAGGTCAGATGCCAGGGCTCGACTCGATCAATGGGCAGTTGCACGCTGGGTAGGAGGTGTCGAGCTCCCTTGCGAACAGCAACGTCGAACCCATAACTACCTACTCGAGCACGAATGCCAAAGAAGCCCACATGTACGCCGGGCTCAAGCTGGTTGTTGTCGTTGACGTACGAAGCCATGTTCTGCAGCTTCGTTGCCAGGTCCCTCGACTGGATCTGCATGCTGGACGCGATGATGTTGCTCACCTGGCGGAGCTCTGCGAAACGGTAGCCGGCAGCCTCGAGTCTCTCAATCTCTCGATCAGTCTGCACTCGGCGCACCAAGAACATGAGAGAACCCCGCCCGAATTCGTGAGCCTTGCGGCGGCCGATTCCCTTTTCCGCAAGATCGTCATTGTTGCTGGTAGCCTCGACCTTCCTCAGGGAACCGTCGGGTCTTAAAAGGGTGTCGACATCTTGTTGGCTGCTCGTCTCATGTCCAGGACGCTCTCCGCTCGCACCCGTTGGCAAGATCTCGTCCCACAAGAGTCCAACAGATGTCAGGTGCTCCTTCATCTTCTCTGCGAGACCAGCAGCCGCAACGCAAAAGAGCTCGCGGAAAATAACATCGTAATTCTCAATCAACTCGCCATGCTCGTTGATCAGTTGGATGCCGGCGCGGGAGTCACGGTCGCGGCCACGCCTTGGGAGGTGAGCAAGATGGTTTGTCATTCCCCCAATAAGGGTCGAGATACCAGACCAATTCCGCGACGCCTGGAACATCCACAAGAATAAGGGGTGGGCGATGCTAAAGTTGTCGCTGGCATTTTTCTCGAGGAATGTGTCGGTGATCTTCTCTGTAGGAATCAGACCATCGGGGTTGACGAGAATGCGGTTGTGCTTGTCGAAGACCGCAGCTGCGAGAACGACCTGCTGAGCCTTGCTAGCATAGCGCCTCATGATACGGGCAGTGTAAATGGCTGTTCCGCCCATGACGAAGCAGGCACCGATGGACTAGTCAAATGGTTAGCACTTCAGACTCTCTATCAAAATGGGGATGGAAGACATCGTCTTACCAAACAAATAACGACAATTACGGTGGTGTTGCGGGATAGCTCGTTGCTTCCAATGTTGAGACGAACGAGTTGATACTCGGTACCTGTGGCAGCACACCAATGCATTCCAGAGACTGCCCCAGCCAAGACGACAGAGCAAGCAGCTCGTTTCCACCAGGATGTCGTCCAGGCTGCGCGGAAGATGAAGAAGAGGGCGAGAGCTACTATGCTGGCAGCGACCGCGATGAGTGCCGCACCAACAACATTTATCGGGTTGTAAATGCAGATGTAGTTGTCGATGGAGTTGTTTCCGAGATAATGCATTCCGCAGATTGCAGCACCAGCCAAAACACCTCCGATGCAGACTCGCCACCAAGAAACGGTATTGTTGATACCGACGGCAACAAATGCAGCGAGAAGTACGGCAATAGGGACGAAGAAAGATAGGGCTGTGAAGCCGCTCGAATATGCAATTTGCAACTCTGGTTCTCCGTTGGCCAAGTCAATGGCTCTATTTCCGATGAAGTGCTGGAGGCGTGTTAGACGTGGCGAGCTGTTGAGGGCAATAGACGTACCATGCACCAGATTGCAATACCGCCCATCGTCACCGCAGCGCTGACCAGGAGCAGGCTGTTTATTCTAGTGTAAGCCAAGAGTTACGGGGTGAACTCGTGAACGGTGCGTACTGGTTGAATTTGCCCTTGGGTGAAGTTCGTCTGTTGAGAAGCTCAAGAGTGGAAGCGGCGCCGATCAAGCTCACGGCGAAGCTGAGAGTGATGAAGCCGCCATTGAAGGCTCTTGGAACCACCTGTCCGTGGTACTCTGCGAACAAGTCCTCTGTCGTTGCGGGCATCTTGACAGCAACATGAGAGAAAGTCCACCTAAATTCGAGTCGTTCTGGAATGTCTCTCTTTGACCTCGACAGCCAACCGGTGGCTCACTGATATACTTCTCAACTCGCGTGGTAGGCCGGGGAATGAGAAGACCGTTGATCAAACTAAGAGGGAATATGGTTGCGTGCTTCCTGTGAACGGCTTGGGGCCCGTTCAAGACATATATCAAGGGTGTCAGGGTAAGACAAGAGGTGGCGGTACAAGACTGGCGGATGCTCCAGGCGCGACAACGGGCAATCCTCGCAACGCATCCCCACTGACACCGAGTGCAGTTCTCATGAAGGACTAGCTGGGAGCCATGTTTCCCACCTTTCTTCTCTTCTTCACCCTTACTGGGCACGAAGACCAGCAGCTATTCCTGGGCCTCCAGCTTGGAGGACGAGGCTAGACTCGGCCGGTGTACCTATGCTACGCTTGGCCAAGGGCCGGGTGTTCCTGGCTGGTCTGAGCTGATCGACCTCGAGTGGATCAAGAAGCGGTGGTTCGTCGGTAAAGGGCAGGCGAGCCGATCAAGATCAGAACAAGCCTCTTTCTAGTCTACTTCAAAAGTTGGCG